GGATTCTCGAGAGCTTTCTTTAGAAGCTGCTGGGACATTGTAGAAGAAGACGTTTTCATGGCGGCCCGGGATTCTTCTCCGGCGTACCTCTACCTCGCGCGATGGCAAGTGCTCAGATAGTTCTGATTCCAAAAAATGATAATCCGGACACTTTCGCGGATTATCGCCCAATCTGCCTCTGCACCTTTGCCAGCAAAATTTTCACTCGAGTAGTCACCTCTCGGCTAAGCTCTATTCTGCCCAAGTTTATTTCAAGAGAGCAGGCAGGTTTTGTTGAGGGTCGAAGCATTCAAGACAATGTGTTGCTGGCTTTTGAGCTCCTGCAATTCATTAACAAGTGGTGCGGGGGGGGGGGGGGGGGGGTGGGAGCGAATGTTGCGGTGAACCTTGATATGATGAAGGCCTTTGATCGGGTTTCTTGGCCCTTTCTAAGGGCAGTTCTGGATAGGTTTGGGTTCCCTGTGGCTTTCACTAATCTGGTCTTGAACAATCTGGAAGCAACACGTCTGCCAGTCTTGGTAAACGGGATCAACTGTGGTTTCTTTCAGCCGACGCGGGGGGTTAAGCAAGGCGACCCGCTCTCCCCCCCCCCCCCCCTCCTCTTCATTCTTGTTTCGGAGGCCCTATCCCAATCTCTTATCTATAAAATGGGCACCGGCTTATTATCACCATACTCGTCGAGGCTAGGATGCACCATTGTTACTCACTTGGCATTTGCAGATGATATTATAATTTTTGTCAATGGTTCAACAGGTTCACTGAAGGCTCTTTCAGATGTGTTAAAACAATATCAAGCCGGGTCCGGACTGAAAATCAATTATAACAAGAGCTTCTTCGTCATTTCCAAGCATTGTTCTACGGGAAGGTTATCCACAATGTCGCGCATTCTGTCTATGCAGCACTCTACTTTACCTTTTCGCTACCTGGGAGTAAACATGTTCGCGGGGAGGAACAGAGTACATTACTAATATCATCTTCTGGAACAAGTTGACAGCAGGCTTCACTCTTGGCAACGCAAGCTGCTATCTCCAGGACGGAGGCTGACTCTAATTAAGCATGTATTGGCAATGATCCTGTTATATACAATGGCTTCTGTACCACTGCCAAAACAAATAAAAAAAGTTCTCGAGTCAAAGTTCGCTAAGTTTTTTTGGGGAACCATAGATGGAAAGCCGACACGGCATTGGCTGGCGTGGAAAAAAGTGTGTTTGCCGACTGAAGAGAGCGGTTTGGGTGTCCGCTGTCTTGCGTCCATCCAAGAAGCGTTCTCTGTAAAGCTATACTTCAATTATCTAAAAGGGGTACCTTGTGGAGCTCCTTCATGCAGGAACGCTATCGTGGCGATTTCTCAATTTCAGCTGTCTCGCACACATGGAGGAGAATGCAGCTCGTGAGGAATTTGGTGGAGGAAAATACAATATCTTCAGGGTCTGTATTGTGGATGCCGTCGATTTATGGTAACTTCTCCTTTTCCTCTGCTTATGATTTGGTCCGGCTAATGGCAGGAAGGAGTTTATCCTCAACAGCCATTTGGGGAACTTTAATCCCTTCGAAGATTTCTGTCTTCATGTGGCGTCTACTCCGGCGACTGCTACCTTTCCCGGATGTTCTTCAAAGCTTTGGATTTTGCTTGCCTTCGATCTGCCCTATCTGCCTAGCTGCAAGCTCAAGCATGGAGCACTTGTTGGTGATAATGAACCACAATCGATTTAATATCCCAAAAAATAATATTTATATATACACACACTAGTATATAAAATATTATTGGATATTTATCCGAAATATATATATACACACAAATATATATAAAACGGATCCAAAGGTTATATATACATGTATATCTACGAAAAAGATATACCAATATATATCAACCAAAATTGAAACTAATAATCCTCAGATTATGAGTCCAATCCAAATAAAATATCAAAAGAGAGAGAACGGATTTTTGCTTAAAAGCATAATCCAAACAAGAAAGAAGGAGAAGGAAGAAAGAAATGTACGAGTTAGGCGAGTGCCTTTCTTTCCTTAAAACCTTATTTGCCACCTCCCAAAAGTGCTAGGAGCGTTGTGGCCTAGGTCTCCCAGGATAAAACGTACAACGGTTCGACGTTTGAGCACCCAAACGAACGAACCCGGCGAACAAGAGCGCGGGCAAAACACAGTTTCAAGAATGGAGTAGAAGCAGAAGTATTTTGAGGCTTGGAAACATTATTTTCTTTTTTTTTTTGTGTTTAAAAAAGCTACTGCTCAACTCCTTCTTATATAGGGAATGAGGAGTGAATAGCCTTTATTATGGCATTTAGAGGCATCCCTACAACTCTTGTAACAGCAACCATTAACATAGGTGTTAATTCAAAAATTAAAATTGAAATTAATTCAAAAATTAATTCCATAACAGCTGAATTAAATCCCAACAGTCACAAACAAAAGCTTTAGGCCGAACTTTCGGCCTAAGTAGTAGTTTAGGCCATCAGCCGATCGTGGTGGCCATGCATTATTGTGAAGCGTGGTGGCCATGCATTATAGTGAAGCATCGTGGTGGCCACAGTGAAACATTGTTTCATTCGTGGTGGCCCACGAATGTTTCATGCATTAAACATTGTTTCATTCGTGGTGGCCCACGAATGTTTCATGCATTACACCACCACGAAAGTTTCAAGTTTAATGCATTAGCGGGCCTGTCAATTTTCGGATGACATTCTGAGATTTGATTTGCACCCCCCTGCGCGTGAGAGAGTGTGTCTATACTATACAATTCAATAAGCTTAAAAAGAGCTCATGTATAAATAGTGGGGCAAATCCTCTTCCCAAACCAATGTGGGACAAAAGCTCACTTTTTCCCTTCATTTCCCAACTCAAATGGGTCTACTCTGAGAATCAATATTTCATTCACCCATTATCCGTTTTGAGCGTACAATATATCAATATCTTCGTCTTACTACGAAGAACCCGAATCCACTTTGACCCGACCCAAATAGGAAGTGGACCCCACTGATAATTGTACCACGAAATAGCCACTTAAAATGCCATTTTAAGCTATTTTTTCCAACAATCCCCCACATAAATGAAAATTGATTTTCAGGGTATTTTGAAATCGGAAACAAACTGTGTTAAACGGTCGATCCCTGCATAGGATAGGTAGGGATCACTATACCCTTTGAACCTTCCCTTGTAAAGATATGTTTACTCTACTGGCTGTACGGTAGAACGCGATGTCTTTGAACCGACTGCCATTTGTGTAGACGATGACATATCTCACACAGGAACCTCCCAACCATGCTCTGTTCTCATGAGTGTGCCCATTTTGATCGTGGGTCACCGTCCTGGTTCTGCAAGAGTTTGTGAAGAATTGTGCCCATCAATTCTCCTTTGAAGCGACCCTCACTTCTCTCTCACATAGGTGATTCTTTTCCGAGTATCCCGCATACTCACACATGTCAACCGACATTCGAATCATTAAAGCACCAACGTGCTAGCCTTGTGCGGGAGTCACTGTTTCTAACGAGGAGTGGTAGGAAGTCCGAGACCCCCACAGTGACACGCTCCGTTCCATAATTTAGTTGTCCCATTGAACCTAGGTGCTAGCTAGGTTGGGTATCCACTATAGAACTTTTAGTCCAAGGGCTTTAGACCATTCCTCGTTCCAATTTCTCCACAACCATTTGCTTACCCTCGGGTTAGCGAGTTAGCGGCCGCTACGTTATCTTTTGACATCACGTAGTCAATAGAGATAACCCCCGTTGTGAGAAATTGTTTAATGGTATTATATCCACGACTTATAAGTCTAGACTTACCATTCCACATTTAACTCTGTACTTAACCAATTTTTGGCTTGACTATCGCAATGCACACAAATTGGAGGTACGAGTTCACCACTAGGAACATCTCGAAATAATGGCATAGCCATTCGGCCTACTCGTTCGCGACACGAGTGTAAGGCTCTCAGCTTTGATCCCGTCAGATCTTAGCTATCACAAATTCATTTCGAGAATTTCCGTCAAACTGACTGCACTGGCCTACGTAAAGACGTAGCCTTTGATGGACTTAGCGTCCTTTGATATCCGTGCTATACTTTCCAAATACGGCTAGATATCCCACTTTGTGCAGTCCAAAGTCACGAGCATACCTTAAGTATCTCATAACTTCTATTGCCTTCTAGTGCGCAACACTAGGGCTACTCGTATGTCTACCGAGTTCGTTAACCGCAAAGGCAATATCCGGCCTAGTACAACCCATTTGATACAATTAAACTACCAATAATCTGAATGTATTCTCCGTGAGAAGTACAATCTTCGTGATCGTTGGCTAGTTGTACGTTAGTATCTAACGGTGTCCAAGCCACTTGATTAAAATCCTTTGGAAGGATTCAATCGACACAATGAGATAGGCCTAACACGAGACCATACGGTCTTCCCACGATTTCAATCTCGAAGATTAAATCTGCCAAACTCACTCGTCTCATGTCAAATCTCAAATTTAACATGACCATGGTAGAATTGATCATGTGATCGTTACTACCCATGTTGAGTTTATCGTGTATAGACAAATAGTGATAACCTCGTCTATCGTACGCATTACGTAGACATTTGTCACCTTAGTTTATACTAAACTCGTTACTCATCATTGTATGATCAAACCTTACATGCCAAATACTGAGGCAATTGTTTCGAACCATACAATGATCTCACCAATTACACACTTTCTTTTCACATCGTGGAACCACAAACCCTCAGGTCGTTCCATGTCTACTAAGAAAGCGATATATCCATTTTGATGAACTTCCAAGTCTCGCTAAACGGCTTTGGCAAGTATCATACTAATGGATTTTATTCTCATCACAAGAGAATATTTATATCGAAGTAACCGTGGCACTCGCGTTGCATGTAATCTACAATTACAGGCCTGGCCATTTTACTTCAATATAATCAACCGATTTTCTCTTCCGACTAGTGATCCACTTTGGATCCCGAGGTTTTACAACCTGGAGGAAGAACAACCAGTTCCAAGTATGATTCTCTAAGATAGAATCTACTTCACTCTCGGTAGCCTCTCTCGGGTTGGTCCATCTGTAAAAGTCACCACTTCTACATACGTTCGAGGCTCGTTTTCCTAACAACCATGTCAGAAAATTCAATTTATTTTCTAGTAAACAAGTTAGAATATGTGCGTCACATTCTAGCATGTACGTTAGAAATCTGGACCAAAGGATTGTTCAATCCTAGCTCTCTTGCTACGTCTAGCTTTGAGCTCGGGTTCTCTTTCATACCCTTCAACCATAGCTTCGCCGAAAGTTCCTTTCAACGTGCTAGGTTCGATATTGAACCTTCACAAAAATACATCTTCAAAGAACGATGATTTTTTTTATTCAATTTATTGCGTTCTTATGTACATCCAAACTATATGACTCGTGTACTAAGAACCAATACACACCTTTGGCAAGACACCCCCACATTTCAGGCATAAGTAGGAAAACTTCCTATGTACCTACAATTCGTAAGAATTTCATGCGGGTAACCTTATTTAAAAGGTACTCACTTGTCCAAAGTATTGTCTCACCTCACATACTTTGAGGTAGACCTGAACATATCAACGTCTTGATATTTATGTTCGGCAACAACGTTCGATTGAGGTGAATACCGTACCGTACTCTCGAGTACAATACCAACGCTTGCGCCGAAATCACCAATAGGTGTTTCACGTTCACCACATCGATCGTTCATAACCGCATTAATCCACAATTAATTTGGTTATCCTTTTATTCTTATAAAGAATAGACATGTGCTACACGTTAGCACATCTCGTAGGTGCGAACAGATCAGCACTTACGAATCCATTTGGTTTTGACCGAAAGACCACAAACCCGAATCAGTGCTTCCGAAATTGAAGCATGAATTAGTGCTTAGTAATGAGGCACGAATCATGCTATACCAAGCACGAATCATTGCTACCAAACTAACACACCGATTCCAAAGCAATCTCTGTTGCTTTAAATTATAAACTTGCAGCAACATTCGGTTGCTTAATTTATAATTACAGTGCTACTTAGCACTAGAATCATTAGTTAATCACATAATTAACCAAACCTCCTTTCGTGCTAATCACATAGCACTTTTACAATGCTAAATTTAATTAGCAACATACGAAAGGTTTAAGCTACGTAAATTAGCATTAAGACCAATCATAATCTAGCACCTTTATTGCTATTACCAAAGCACCAATTGCTCAAGTTTTCAACACCTAAAGGTGCAGCCACCAAGTGGCCGAAAGTGCCTAATTAGGCACTCTACCTAGTGCTTAATAGCACTGTTACAGTGTTTTAATTTGCACTTCAAAGTGCCAAATTAAATTGCATTTTCCATTAGTGCTACAAAAGCACTATCTACCAAAACACAATTTGTCTCAAATTTAAATATACTAGTATAACTTGGACTTTTTGATCAAGTTAATTATAACACAATTAACAAAATCAAATCAACCAAATTTCCAAAACTAGTTGAACCAAACTCATATAATCGTTCTTAGAATATTATATAAAATATTGAACACTTGAGCTGTGACGCTCACGATTATATAGTTATCCCATTTTTTTTTTGACAAATTGATCCTATTTTGAAATCTGTATCGTTCAACATGAACTAGAACCGAAGTCCTTTTACGGGATTTCAAACATGTAACGTGCTTGTTACATTCCGTTCCGGCCGTTAAGCCATTTTAGCATTTTTCACATAATGCCCCGTGATGCACTACGCACCCTTATTAATTGAATCTTATATATATTAAAAATGTCACACAAGAATATTTTAAAATATACAAAGTTCAAAACACACAAATGGAACAATTCATTTTTTCAACAATAAAATGTATCACAAGGATACTACAACATTTATTTAACAAATAAATAAATAGGAAAAAATTACATTGGAAACCAATTTCCATTATTTCTATGTAGTAGTCCTTCGAACCCGTGTGCCTTGTTCCATTCTCAACCGTCCACTCCACAACGGGTGGTCCATAGCGCACATCGGGGGTACCTCGGTTGTGACCTCACTCGTCCAACCATCCACATGTTTTGAACATGGCGAAATTGTCCTCAACCTTTTCACCAGGATGACGATTCGCTTCATAGTGGCATTTCTCCTTCTTCTCATAATCTTCTTGAAAGCTAAGCTTCCGCTTGAGTTTTCTTCGATTACGGTTGGAGTCATTGGTCACACTACCATAGTCCTCAGACCATGTAGTCATTACACCATCATAGGATCCTTCGTGGCTTTTAGCCGATCCACTAGACAACACAATAGGTACCAATTGTTTGGCATTAGCCACAGGTCTACCGGATCGTTAACCACAGTTCTCCGGAGCACCATCGTATGCTTCTGCAACTCCCATGGAAATATTATTTCCAACGTTGCCGCCGTCAACCGGGATCACAGAATGTGCAACATCATTGCCGTTCCTACCATTTGAATGTGCACCACAAGCAACATTCACGGATCCAATACTCTTGGAATCCACCGATTTGTTCATTATCAAATAAAATAAGGTTTTAAGATTGTTGGTGATAATGAACCACAATCGATTTAATATCCCAAAAAATAATATTTATATATACACACACTAGTATATAAAATATTATTGGATATTTATCCGAAATATATATACACACACAAATATATATAAAACGGATCCAAAGGTTATATATACATGTATATCTACGAAAAAGATATACCAATATATATCAACCAAAATTGAAACTAATAATCCTCAGATTATGAGTCCAATCCAAATAAAATATCAAAAGAGAGAGAACGGATTTTTGCTTAAAAGCATAATCCAAACAAGAAAGAAGGAGAAGGAAGAAAGAAATGTACGAGTTAGGCGAGTGCCTTTCTTTCCTTAAAACCTTATTTGCCACCTCCCAAAAGTGCTAGGAGCGTTGTGGCCTAGGTCTCCCAGGATAAAACGTACAACGGTTCGACGTTTGAGCACCCAAACGAACGAACCCGGCGAACAAGAGCGCGGGCAAAACACAGTTTCAAGAATGGAGTAGAAGCAGAAGTATTTTGAGGCTTGGAAACATTATTTTCTTTTTTTTTTGTGTTTAAAAAAGCTACTGCTCAATTCCTTCTTATATAGGGAATGAGGAGTGAATAGCCTTTATTATGGCATTTAGAGGCATCCCTACAACTCTTGTAACAGCAACCATTAACATGGGTGTTAATTCAAAAATTAAAATTGAAATTAATTCAAAAATTAATTCCATAACAGCTGAATTAAATCCCAACAGTCACAAACAAAAGCTTTAGGCCGAACTTTCGGCCTAAGTAGTAGTAGTTTAGGCCACTACTTTCGGCTTCGGTCAGGGAGCTACACGAAATGGCCACAGTGAAACATTGTTTCATGTATTACATTGAAACATTGTTTCATTCGTGGTGGCCCACGAATGTTTCAATTATTACACCACCACGAAAGTTGGCCACAGTGAAACATTGTTTCATGTATTACATTGAAACATTGTTGCATTCGTGGTGCCCAACATTGTTTCATGCATTACACCACCACGAAAGTTTCAAGTTATTACATTGAAACATTGTTTCATTCGTGGTGCCCAACATTGTTTCATGCATTACACCACCATGATTCGTGGTGCCCAACATTGTTTCATGCATTACACCACCACGAAAGTTTCAAGTTTCATGCATTACAATGAAACAATTGTTTCATGGCTATATTGCCGAAACTTAGCCCGCAAGGCCCCTGCGCGCGAGAGAGAGTCTCTATGCTATACAATTCAATAAGTTTAAAAAGAGCTCATGTATAAATAGTGGGGCAAATCCTCTTCCCAAACCAATGTGGGACAAAAGCTCACTTTTTCCCTTCATTTCCCAATTCAAATGGATCTACTCTGAGAATCAATATCTCATTCACCCATTATCCGTTTTGAGCGTACAATATATCAATATCTTCGTCTTACTACGAAGAACCCGAATCCACTTTGACCCGACCCAAATTGGAAGTAGACCCCACTGATAATTGTACCACGAAATAGCCACTTAAAATGCCATTTTAAGCTATTTTTTCCAACAGCACTGCCTCTACCATCGCAGCGGCGTCCAGATGGTATGGAGACATTTTGACAGAATTTTTGGCTTCAGCCAACGCGGCGACATCTTAGTGAGAGCGGTGTGCCAGGCTTGGTGGCTCCATGCCTCCCCATCGCTTGGTGGCTACGCATGTTTGCTCCATTGCCTTGTTCTGTGAACTTTGTGGGCTGCTTACAATGAATGTTTTTATGATGGTACACCCTTCTCCGCCTCAAGAACTATTCGAAGGATTAAATCGGAAGCGCTTTTGCTCTCCCTTGCTCAGAAGCCACGCTGTAAGGGATCAATGGGCAATCTTCTGGTTGCCGAAGGCTTGATTGCCCACATTTACTCTCTGCCGCGACGTACTACGGTTTGGGTCAAGTGGATGGCTCCGCCGTCGGGGAGATTAAAGTTGAACTCGAACGCCTCTTTCTCTGTGCATGGCGTAGCTGGTGGCGCCTGCTTAAGAGACTCAAGCGGCCATCTTGTAGTGGGTTTATGCTATCGCCTTGATGCTGCATCCTCAGCACTTGAAGCGGAGGCTCTAGCATTAGAAAATGCCATTTTGTGGTGCGAGGTCACTGCGACACGGCTTCTTATGGTTGAGGTTGACTCACTTACTCTGGAAAAATGTGTGTCCTCGCCGAGGGAGTTGATACCGTGGAGGATACGTGAGCCAGTTTTCCACATCCGGGCTTGCCTTTCAGAATGGGGCTCTACCATTCAACATGTCTTTCGGGAAGCAAACCAGGTGGCAGATGGGCTAGCAGAGGAAGCTCTCAACACTGATTTTCCCAAAGTTTTCAGTAGCTTTGTTCTTATGCCTGACAAGGTTAAATTAGCTATGATGTATGATCTAAGAGGCTTTGCTTCTCACCGGATTGTTCGCCTTTAATAAACGTCCCTGTTGCTTAAAAAAAAAAGTAGCTAAACTAAGTACATGCGGGCACTCACTCAAGAGGGAGGGCTGGGCGTAAGATCACTCGACTCAATTCAGAGAGCCTTCTCGGCCAAACTTAACTTCAATTTTATTCAAGGTGGTTCGCTATGGAGCGACTTTCTACGTGCACGATATCCCGATGATCAGAACTAGAGATCCGCTTCGCTCACATGGAGGCGAATGCAACCCCTGCGGGATTTTGTCGAGGATCGTGTTACGCTTGGCTCGGATGGAAGCTGGATCTGGTCGCCCTCTCTGTACGATGACTTCACCTTCTCCACAGTCTATAACTAGCTCCGACCAAGAGCTGGACATAGCCTGTCTTCATCACGCATCTGGGGAAAGGGATTGCCTTCGAAGATCTCCTTTTTTATGTGGAAATTGCTTCGACGTTTGTTGCCTTTTCCAGACGTTATTCAACGTTTTGGGTACTGCTTACCCTCTGTTTGCCCGCTCTGTTGGAATGAAGCTGCTGCAATGGATTATTGCCTGTACAGCTGCAACAAGGCTCAGCAGGTCTGGGCACATTTTCATGGGATTTTTGGTTTGGCAGACACGGCCGCTAGCTCTATTCGATCGGAGTGTCATGCATGCGTGGTTGCTCATGGCGGTTCCGGGTTCAACAGCAGACAGTCTGGCACAGCTCATACCATGTTTTATCCTCTGGTTTATATGGTTCTCTTACAATAAATGGGTCTATGAAGGATTACCATTCTCATCAGTTGGAGTAATCAAAAAGGTAAAGCAGGAGGTCTTTCTGATTTCTTGCTCTCGACCCTTTAAACATGACTCCCATGCCCAGCTGCTTGTCTCTACTGGTTTGGTAACTAGATTTGTGGCCCCGCCGCGGAGAACTACAATTTGGGTGAAGTGGCTCGCGCCGCCCACGGGAAGACTCAAACTGAATACAGATGCTACTTACTGTTCGTTTGCAGCCGCAGGAGGTGCTTGTCTTCGTGACTCTAACGGACAATTTGTTGTGGGTTTATGTTTTCGCTATGACGCGGCATCAGTTCTGGAGGCCGAGACGAAGGCGCTTCATTATGCCTTACAATGGTGCGTTGCTTTTGCCAAACGGCCCTATGCAATTGAGGTTGATTCCCTGTCCCTTGCTAACTTGGTGACCTCCGATACAACGAGGATCCCGTGGATGATTAAAGAAGCGATACTATACGTCCGCTCTTGTCTGAAAGCGTGGGCTTCCACAGTTAGACACATCTACCGGGAGGCTAATCATGCAACAGATGCTCTGGTAGAGGCCGGACTTAGTTGTAGTTCGTCAAGAATTTTTAGCTCGATCGATGGTTTGCCTGTAAAACCCAAATTCGCAATCATGTATGACTTGAGAGGCTTTGCCTCCCACCGTTCCGTTCGGAATTAATAAAGCTTTTCGTTACTTTAAAAAAAAAAAAAAGTACATGCGGGCACATCATATCCCAAGCAAAACAGTTAAAGGAGAAATTAAACTCCCAAATTAATATATGCTGCAACATTATCTATCTTCTGTTCTGTTGTGTCTTCTCCTATCCATTCTCCAAACTACATGCACTTCCAATACTTGTGCGATCCAATCATTGTTGAGACCTCAAAATATACTCAGCTTCCCGCGGGCCTTACAATGGAATTTTTTGTAGTTCCGCAAGATCTCCAGTGCCTGCAAAAAACAAGCATTTCAAATCACTTATAAAGATGGATGGTTGATGAAACTGATAACAAATTATGAATGACACAAATTCAAAAATAAGAACCTGTAAGCTATACTCCCCGATTCAAGTTCCTCATCATTCTCAAATTCAAGAGTTAAACTTTGAGAGCTTTAAAATAAAGTAATAAGATGAGTAGAGGTTGTGGATGCTTACTTGGAGCTTGCTGAGTTTAGTTCATGCCACCAAAACCTGTTTGATCACAAATACAGTACACCACAAACATTACTCTGTTCCTCAGAATAATATGAGCTATGGAGGGGAAAAATCAACTCCACTATACACAGGGACTGCAACAGCATAACCACCACTGCAATTTTGATTTTGGTAAGGCCATCCACTTGCTTTGTCAAGCTCATACGACTTTGCTGCCTTTACCAATCTCAACAACCTATATCTCTGAGTGAAACAAACACAAACAGTATCAGGCAAATAAATACATGTTGGAGTGAGCATACCCCCTACAAGTTTTAGATCTTTTTTTCTTTTACCATACCATGCACAACTACTAGAAAATTGAATCAAATGAGATTTCGTGAATTGCAAGTATATATAAACTAAACATACAAAACCCAGATTATCTAATCATGCATAACCCCTTACCACCTTGGTTTATTAAACAAAACCACTATATTAATTTTAAGCATATATAATTAAAAGCTGTACGTTTTGGACATGATCACTATATTAATTAATTTTAAGCATGCATATATAAAGTTATAAAAACAAGATAAAATAGGATCAAATACTATAAAAATCATGTTTTTAATCATTTAATAACACCGGGCCTCTAATTTATGGTTCATGAAGATGTTGGCCGGAATCCATTCAATTCCCTTGTGCAGTCGATGGAAAGAAAAGCATTTGGATGGCCTTCTTTGTTTCTATATATATATGTATTTCAAACACACACATTAATTAATATATTTCATCAAAGACAAAGTGCAGTGATACATACAGATAAATTAAGTTGAGCATAACTAACTAACTAACCTTGAAGCGTATGTACTTGCCACTTTTCAATATAATTGAAGTAATGGAATCCTCAAACAAAACTAGCTAGCTGCCCGTAGATCAGATCAGACCAGATCAGAGGATGGTAATCTGATCTGCATCCACGGTCATCCCGCCCAACAAAAACACTTAAGGAGAAACTCCGGAATAATGCTGCTGCATAATCTTCTTCCCCAACCATAATTCTTCTCTTCTTTTCTTCTACACCTACTACACTACTTGTTGAAGAATCATCACCTTCTTAATTGTATCGGCATTATTCTAATTTCATTTTCTGTTGTTCCATCATCACCATCATCAATTTCAATTTCTACGAAGCCTCTTGTGGATGGAAAGAAACGCACTTCTCCATCTGAGTTTCTATGTATTTCAAATAAACAACAAAGCTGCTGCATCTTCTTCTGCAGAGGTGGATGGAAATGAGCATACACCTCCAGTACTTCTCCAATCCACCTTGTTACCACCTCTATTTCAATTTCCATATACAATTTAGACTTAATATATTTGGGAGGTTCCTTTACGATCCAAGCACCACTGCTTTTGCTTCTCACACTAACACCAACTCCATCAAACTCCTCATTACCATCAAAACCACTGTTCATGATTCGAAAGGTTGTTGTATGCCCCAAAACTCTTGGAATACTGCACCATACATAATCTCCAAAGACTTCAAGGAAAATCTGGACAATATTACCTTCAGAACGTGCCTACATCATCATCATCATCATCATCATCATCATCATCATCATCATCATCATCATCATCATCATATAACCAAATCACACAAAGATGAGGGAGGGGAACATAACTTAACTAACCTGGAACCAATTTTCAACCGAAGGAATCCTCAAACCACTGCAATTTGTTATATCAACAGATTCAAGACTCTCACCTCTTGGAAGCTCAACAAAACTTTTGCAATTGCGAATATCCAACCTTTTCAGTCTTTTCAAGTTTTCTATTTTTTCCAATGACACACAATTTTTTGCAGAGAGATGCTCCAAACTATGAGGAAGTTGTAGCAATGTTCTTAGATTTTGCCAATCATTCAATATGAGACTTTTCAAATTAGAAAGATGAGAAAGGCTGAAGGGTAGGCTTTGAAGATGATAGCCACACCCCGATAAATCTAAAACTTCCAATGAGGTCAAACTTCCAAGAGCGATTATTTGTAGGCATTCTTGCAAATAGTTATAAGGGATAGTCAGAGCTTTGTGTTGTGCTATCGTAAGGTTTCGTAAGGATTCAACACTCTCTAGGCCTGAAAGCTCAACCAAACTTTTGCAGTGCGCAATATACAAAGTTTTAAGTCTTCTTAAGTTGGATATATCTGCAATTTTTTCTAATGACTCACAATCATATGCATAGAGTTTCACCAAACTAGGTGGAAGTTTTAAAAGTGCTCTAAGATTTTGCAAATCCTCCAGGAAGAGCTCACTCAAATTGGAGAGATGGGAAAGGTCCAACGATAGGCTTTCAATATAGCAAATTCGTGATAACCTTAAAGATGTCAATGAGGTCAAGCTTCCAAGAGCAATTGGAAGATTTACTTGCTGCTGTGATTTGTTGAATCTCACTGTCAGATTGTCCAATGAGCATAAATTCGCAGCCGAAGATGGAAAAAAATCAACAGCTACTGAACCCACAGGCTTTCTCAGGTCCAACGACTCTAGATTTCTCAAACATCCCAAAGAAATGGGTAAATGTGAGATAGCAGTTTTTGAAGCATCTAATCCTCTTAGTTGCTCTAATTTTCCAATGTCAATTGGAAGTTTCCTGAGATTCCTGCAACCAGATAACTTTAATTTCTCAAGTGATTTTACTTTGCAAATGCTACTTGGAAGAACCTTTAATTTCTTGCATTTCCTCAAATTTAACCCAACTAGCCTCTCCAAACTTCCAATTGATGGGTGCACATTCGCCAAATTTGAACAACCTCTGAATGATATTTCCTGAAGACTTTGTGCCCCAGTAAAGTCTGGTGTACTCTTAAGTTGTTCACAATATTTGAGCTTTAACATCCTCAAGCATACAAAATGCTGTTAAAATAAAATAGAGAGGTTTTAGTGCATTTCTATTTTTTAGTCAAAGTTCTTAGCAAATATGCAATATTAAAATAATTAATTATTAGACAAACTAACCTGCATATTGGGTTGAAATTCTTTGATATTGCTATGCCTCAAGTCTAACTCCACAAGTTTCGCACATTGAAAATCCGATTGTATGTGACTCAAACGGCAATTACGCAACCCCTTAAAAGCCGAAGTTCATTGGACAAATATTTAAAAGATCCTCTAAGAAGCACACCATCTAATATGAGTATTCGCAAATTTACCATCCTTGTGAATACTTCCGTACTCAAAGGCACATTCTTAAACAAGTTAGAGTTTACGATCATCCCTTCAATTGCTTTTGTGCCCTAAAAAAATGTTTGATGTAGCAATATGTTAGATACTCTAAAATCTTTCATATTTTTAATAAATCTAAGTATTTCAAGCAATTGATGAACTAGATTAATATATAACTCATGTACAAAGGAAATATTTTACCTTGTTACCTTGTAGAACATCAAAAACAACATTTGTGTCCACCAATCTACTTCGTTTGCCAGGATTTTTTGGAGATTCATTTCGAACAATTTCTCTTCCCATATCCCGTACTAAACCATGCATCTCAAGGATTTTAAATTCTTTATCTCCATCTATTGTTAACAAACATCTTTCTATCAAACTTCTTAATCCACTTTTAGCATGAAAGCCACAAGCTTCCAATATCATAGCAATATCTTTTTTGAAATGCCCAACAAAAAAACAAGCAATATCAAGAAAGATGTTTTTAGTATCACCATCAAGTGCATCATAGCTTATTTCAAGAATTGTTTGAATATCGACATGAGGATTGTTTCTTAATTTCTCAACATCTTCGATCCACTCTTGCACCGATCGTCCACGCAAATGAGAACCTATAATGGTAAGTGCTAATGGAAGTCCCCCAGTATAACTTGCAATCGTTTTAGATACTTCAGTATACTCATCTAATGCGTTAGGAACACCAAAAGCATGCCAACTTAAGAGTTGCAAAGAATCATCAATGCTTAATGTTTTAACTTTGTACTTCTCTTGTGTTCCAAGCACACTCAACAAGTGAACATCTCTAGTTGTTATTATAATTGTACTACCTGAACCAAACCAATTTCGCTTACCTGCTAATGAGTCTAATTGACTTATGTGGTCTATGTCATCAAGAACAATGAGGACCCTTTTGGATCGAAGCCTTGCTTTGATCAAACTTATTCCTTCATCAACATTATCAATTTCAAAATTCTTTCTCTTGAGTGTTTTGTACAGAAGTTTCTCTTGTAAACCAACTAGACCATTGTGTCGTCCCTTATTAGAAATTTCTTGTCTAATATTTGCAACAAAGCAACTACCTTCAAACCCTTGAAAACTCATGATCAAGTGATTGTATATGGCTTTAGCAAGGGTTGATTTTCCAACACCACCCATACCAAAAATTCCAATCATTCTAACACTATCATTTGTTTGAATTTGTAATAAATCAAGTACTTCTCTAACATGAGAATCAATTCCAATGGGATGCTTTGCAACATTCATGGGCATAAAATTCAACACTTGTAGCACTTCTTTAGTAATCACCTCAATGAACTTTGACTCATACCTGATCAAATTTTAAATTTATTGCATAAAAAAATAATCTTTGTCTATAATTTGATTTAAGAAACAAAAAATAAAAATATAAGGAAGGCGTAAAACACAAAATTAAGAAACCAAATTGAAAACACGACAGCAGACATTAAACCAAAATTAAATATTTTCTATTAATTGACCAAGAAATATAATTGGTCAATAACTATAAGTTCAAAGGAATTATTATTTATGTAAAACCAATAAATTAATTAATACTCCGTATAAAAATTAATTAAAAAGCACAGTTAGAAGATGCCAATCATTATTGTATGGACCATGGTCCACACAAGTTGTGTGGACCATATTTTGTCTACTGTAAAATAATGTACATTTAGTACAAAAATAATGTATATTTAGTACAAAAATAATGTACATTATATTCAGGGGATGTACATTATTTTTGTTCTGAGTGTACATTATATTTTATAATGTACATTCAGTACAAAAATAATGTACATTTAGTATATTAAAAATTTACATTTTATTATGGTCCACATAACATTGTGTGGACCATGGTCCATACAATAATTTGCCAGAAGATGCAGGTTCTTCTTCTTCAATTATTTTCAAAATTTTCTTTAAAAAAATTACCATAAATATGAATTTACTATATGAGTAAGTGTGTCAGGCAAATATCAACTAGTAAAAGGAAATCGAAAGGGGGTTAGGATTACCCATTTGACATGGTTTGCAAATCCCATCCAGACAAGTTAGCAGCTGCAGTGAGTGCATTTTTCCACTCATTAACATTTTGATCTCCAAATCGTTGTCTGTGTAGAGTCAATGCATCACCAAAAGTCCTTGTTTGTTTGCGAACCTCGGAAGGATTAACATCGTAGAATATGGGAAAAATAATCTGATTCAACTTCTGTTTACATTTCATGATCTTCACAAGCTCATCT